TCTATAGGTTGTCCAAGTTATTGATAGGACTGAAAAATCTGAGGGTCAGTCTTTCACTCCTGTTTTTACTTACTAAGGATAAAGATGCTGAGAAGTGGGGTTAAAGTAGGATGTGTGCCCCCTTCCTCCCAAAATGATTGGGACGTGAAGTTCCTTTTTTTGTTCCCACAGGCAATGTTGTGAATATCCAGACGGGCCATTGGATTGGAAAACAGAGTGGCTTAGGTGCTGGGCTAGACTCCTTCTATGAATACCTTTTAAAATCTTACATTCTCTTTGGAGAAAGAGAAGACCTAGAAATGTTTAATGCTGCATACCAGAGCATTCAGAACTACTTAAGAAGAGGGTATGTCTCTTATACCACTTCAGTGGCCTTAAAAAGCAAATAGTTTGCATTCTGAGGGCTATTCTTTTTTTTTTTTTTTTTTTTTGTACAGGGAAGAGGGTGGGGGTGGGGGTGGGGGCAATGTTGTTGAACTCAGGACATTGTAATTACCTGATAGGCATTTAAGCAACTGAGCTATCTCCTCAGCCCAGTATTTTGCATTCTAAAATGTTCTTTTTTTTGTTTTGTTTTTTGAGACAGGGTCTTGCTATGTAGTGCTGGCTGGCCTTGAGCTCAAAGTGATCCTCCTGCCTCAGCCTCCTGAGTACTGAGATTATAGGCATTTGCTTCCACACCCAGCTAGTATTCCTTTTTTTCCCCCTTTTTGTAAAACATAAATTTCTGAGGTCTGTGTGTCTGTTCTGCCCTTAACATCACATAACATACTTTTCCAAACCTGAGTGGCTTAAGTAAAAAACATGACCTCACTACAGTTCCTAGGTCCTAGGTTCTGGCCTAGGATGCCACATGAGGTTGCTGTCAAGCTGTTAATTAAGAGTGTAGCCATGGCAAAGCTAGTGTGGGGCTGGAGCATCCCCTCCTAGGCTCCCTCATGTCATGGCTGGCAGTGTTCCTGGCTCTTGGATGGGTGTCTCAAATCTTTGCCATGGGCCCTCTTCCTGGGTAGCTCATAGCAGCTGGCTTCTCTCAAAGCACTGGAGTACTACAAAGGCTTCAGTTTAGAACTTTTCTTCTACAGTAGAGGTTATCTTCTGTTAGTGTCTAGTTCACACAGGTAGTGGGAATCTTCTCCAAAGGTTTAAGAAAAGTGGATAAAAGTAAATGTTGATTCTATTTGAATGAAACAAGTAGGTGCTCCTGGAGTGATAGGGTTAGAGTTCTGTCAATGAGCTTTCTTTTCACCTTTGCATGTGTTACTTATATTTGTAGGCGGGAAGCCTGTAATGAAGGAGAAGGAGACCCCCCGCTCTATGTTAATGTGAACATGTTCAGTGGGCAGCTCATGAATACTTGGATTGACTCTCTGCAGGCATTCTTCCCTGGACTGCAGGTATTTTGCAGTCAGATTATTTATTTATTTATTTATTTAGTGTGTGTGTGGCCAGCTCAGCCCACCACGGGGTGGGGCTGGCTGGCATGTGGTGCTGGGGGATTGAACCGCGGTCCCTGTGCTTTGCTTAGTCTAGCTTGTTCTAAGTAGGTGCTTTAGACCACTGAGCCATGTCACCAGCCCTGCAGTCAGATTTGCAAACAATAGTCATTAGAATGGAAATTTTATTTTCTTCCATTTTCTGTGATATTTGGATTTGGGAGGTGAGATTCTGTTTGTGAAATAAGTTCCTGTATTATTGAACAGACCCATATTACATTATTGAAAAATCATATTTAAAAATTAACCAGGTGATTGTTGGATAATCCATCTTTGTTATGTGCTTGTTTGGTACATTTGACCTTTTCTTTGCAGTTTATGTTAGTATGTCGTTGATGACCAGATACAAAGGGCATCTGTTTGGATTTGTCACTTTTGACTTGGTTTTGTCTCCAGCTATGTTGCATGAGAACCAGAGTAAAGGAAAGCTTGACATTTGTGTCACTTTTTGCCATTCTTGGAAAAGTATCTCAGCCTGGTGACCCATGTCTTCTTTGTAGGTTCTGATAGGAGATGTGGAGGATGCTATCTGCCTGCACGCCTTTTACTATGCCATATGGAAACGCTATGGGGCCCTTCCTGAGAGATATAACTGGCAGCTACAGGCCCCTGATGTTCTCTTCTACCCACTGAGACCAGAATTAGTGGAATCTACGTATCTCCTCTACCAGGTACCGGAGCTCTTTGAACAATAGTCTGTTTTCATAAATAGAATTATCACGTGGCTGTAGTCTTATTTGTGCTCAATGTCACTCATAGTTTCACAGGACAGAGACAGTCTCTGTAGCCAAATGCTTTTTTTCTTTTTTTGTAGCCAAATGCTTTTAGCCTCACATTTTGCAAAGAATTTTGTCTTTGCCATAGGATTTATTCTTACATCTTTAAATCTTCAAGAGAAAGGGGGCCGGGGAGGTAGCTCAGTAGAATAAGCACTTGCCTGGAAAGCACAAGGGCCTGAGTTCAGTATCCAGTTCCACAAAAAAAAAAACAAAAAAACTCATGAGAAGGAGTTTACCTTCAGTATATTCCAAATCTATTTGACTAGAGAACCTTTTTTTTAGGGGAATGCAGTTCTGTGCCAATGTGCTAGAGAACCTTGATCTAGGTAATAATTCAGACAAAAAGAAAATTCAGTTTCTTATTTATAGAGAAAGTTATCTGGGAGTCATACGAATGTCTTGGTTTTGTTTAGTGTTAAAAGCCCTTTTAATGTTTGTCTTTCATGCAGTTATTCTTTTGCCTGCAGAGGGAATGTCACTTTAACTGTGAAATGTTTTCTCACAGACAGCTGAAGCCAAATGCATATATTTCTGTGCATACCATAAATAAACACACTGAGAGTGCTTGCCCATTCACAAATATCACAGCATAAGCTGTTCATTCAATAAGAAGCTAGCCTTTAATGCACTTCAATAGGCTTGTGGCAAAGGCCTGCATGGTGCAAGACTTGGCACTGCAAACCTGACTTGCAAGGCCTTGTAGTAGGATTAATATTGTGCTTAGATTTATTTAGGTTCAGTGATACTTTGTTTTTTTTTTTTTGGTTTGGTAGTAGCAGGGATTGAGCTTGGGACCTTGTGTACTTATTCCACTGTGCTTTCTCCCCAGCCCCGTCAGTGATTTGTTTTTTGGTACAGAATTCTTCGTGTTTGCTTTGAGGTGAAAAAGGGAGAATTTTGTGAAACTGATGTTATAGCTTGCATCTAGATGTCCCCCAAAGCCTCCTGCAGTCATGGGTGTTTTTTTTTTTTTTTTTTAAGAGGTGGCTGAATTTAGAGTATGTGACTGTTTCACGGTGCAGTGCTAGGATTAGGGCTGGGTAATTACTAACTCAGTCTATTGATTCATTTGGTACCTAAGAATCCCAGTAGCCTGGATATAATATAAGGGACAGGAAACGGCTTCTCTTGTTTGCTTGCTCTTCCTATCTCCTGCTTGCCATGAACTGGTTCTCCTCTGTGATGCCCCTGTGCCATGCCACCTTCCCCCAGCTGGTTATGGACTGAAACCTCTATAATCTGTGACCTAAATAAACCTTTCCCCTTAATTCTGGCTGTCAGCTATTTTGTCTCAGCAGTGAGAAAAGTAACTAAGACAAACTGGTAATGGTCTTTGTGCCTAAAGAGAAACCTTATGAATTTTATGTAACATCTGAGAGGGAAAGAGGTGATACTTTGGTGGAGGTTTTTCTTCTTTCTTTTTGAGATAGGCGGGCCTCAGACTCAACAATCCTCTGCCTCAGCCTCCTGAATATGGGGATAACAGGGGTGCTCCACCATGCCTGGCTAAGGAGATCTTGCATGTGGACTCTCTAAGCCCAGGGTTTATCTAATAAGGCTGTACACAGTCTGAGGGTGGTATAACTGCTGCTGTCTCAGAGTGTGTATGTGTGTGTGTGTGTTCTAGGCAGGGTCTGGCCTTGAGCTCACACTGGTCTGGAACTTGTAGTGATCCTCCTGCCTCAGCCTCCTGAGTGCTGGGATTACAGGTGTGCACCGCCACACGTGGCTCTTAGTTTTCTTTTCTTTTTTTTTTTTTTTTAGTAGGAAAATTTATTGAGAGTAAGTTCCTCAGGGACAGGAGGTGACCTGAGAATGGGTTGCCCTCTGTTTTCTTCTGAAACTTGATCTTGCTGCCCTTGGGCTTTTACTCTTTGTTTCTGTTCCTCTCTTTCTCTTCAGTGTTTTCAGATTCTTCCTTTTGAGGGCTAATTTCTTAGAATCCAGAGAATTGTTTTGCCTTACACCTTTGTGCTCTGAAGCTACTCCCAAGATCTTATAACCCAGAGACAGCCAGCCTGGGGGTTATTTGCTTTTTTGCTTCAGGTTGGCACTAAGCATGAATTAAAAATGATCCCCATCTTCTAAAATGTTTAAAATGTTTACCAGGTAGAAGTTCTATCTTTCCAGAGAAATCCCCGACAACTGCAAAAACAAAAACAAAAAAATCCAAAACAAATAAACTACTAAGAATATGTGACAGAAGAGTCAACAACCCAAGGATTTATTAGAGGAAACTGTGGAGGCTTTCTGTAGATACCGTGGAGTCTTACTCTTTTTACTTTCCTCCTAGTGCTACAATTGGAATGGGGTGGGAGGAAAAGGTCCTGTTTCCCTGTCCCAATGTTTTTAGTTTCTAGAGAGTTCGGAGGTGAGGTAAAAATTCATTTTGTCAGCTGAGTGTGTTGGCTTATGCCTGCAACTACATCAGGGAGGGAGATGGAAGCAGGCAGACTGTAAGTTGGCCCCAGGTCTAGACAACATAGTGGGCTTGGAAGTGTAAATTAGTGGTAGAGTACCCCTGGGTTTGTTTTCTAGCACCACGCACAAAAATGAATAGAAATTGAAAAAGAACTGGAGATAGAGCTTCATAGGAGGATTGTGGGTTTAATCCTTAGTACCACAAAACGAAAAGAACAGAAACTGAATTTGTTCTCTCAGATAATGTTGCTATCAAGCTGGCATTGTTTTATTTCTGACCATGATGAGATCTGAGCTGAAGTATATTCAAGTACACAACCTGGGAGCAGATTGCCCAACTGGTTTAGGTTAAGTAAATTGCAGAAATGCTTCGATGCAAGCTGACTCATGCTCCGGGGAGCCCTGCTCCCCTGTGACGGTTGGTGTCCTGTCTTCTAGGCCCTTTTTGGGTCATGCTCTCTTCTGTTCTCTCTAGGCAACCAAGAATCCCTTCTACCTCCACGTGGGAATGGATATCCTGCAGAGTTTGGAGAAGTACACAAAAGTCAAGTCAGTTTTCGAAGTTCCTCTTTACTGTTGTCTACCTGTGATTTTTTTAGTTGTTCTGGAAAGATATTATTCTAGCTTGCATTTTAGTTTGTAGAAAAGCTAGTTGATTAATGTTACTTTTGTAATGAAATGGTTAATTTCGGTATAGTAATACCCCTCTCCATTATAGCAGGAATCACTTGTTAACTTTCTCTTTTTTAAATGTAAAGTTTCAACAGCAAATCACGCATAGGGCAAAATATTTACAGTGCAGAAAAATAATAAGGTATAGAGTATTTTCATTGTAATTGCTACCCATAGTCAGTGTTTAAGTATATTGTTTATAATATTTTAAATATATTTATGTGTATATACATTTATGCATGTATATATACTTTATACTTCTTTTTTTTTTTTTCTTGCGAAACTGGGGATTGAACTCCGGCCCTTTCATATACTTCAGTTTTGTATCCTGCTTTTGTTTTTTAGCCACCAGTATCTCATAAGTTTTTTTTTTTTTTGAAACCACTATTGTAGGACATTCAATAAATCAATTCTACAAGTACTGAGACTAAAAAGAAATTGGTTATGTTAAATTTGTTGGCAATTCTTGTTCTTGATGTTATGTCATGCTTTTGGTAAATACCCTCCACTGTTTTTCTCTGCACGCTGGAGCTAACCTGATAGCTTAGGAGCCAAAGCACCTTTCTTTTTTTCTTCTTTTTGTGGTATTGAGAATCAAAATAAGGACCTTGAGTTTTTCTGGCAGGTGCTGTGCCTCTGAATTATATCCCTGGCCCTCAAACCACTTTTAAAATGAACCAGGCCTTTGAACTTCACGTAGTTTATTTTTTACATTGTATTGGATGTCCTCTTAATAGAATACTTATCTGCTATTTACCAGCAGGGGAGGGAGCATAAGCAGGACTAACTGGATCAATCTCTTGTAGATGTGGGTACGCCACATTGCATCACGTCATAGACAAGTCCAAAGAAGACAGGATGGAGAGCTTCTTTCTCAGCGAGACCTGTAAATACTTATATCTGGTATGTGTGTTTCAAGATTAACCAAGGGCTTAGAGAAAGTATTTTTGCAGCCTTCTACCTGACAGATATTTACTGTGTTACTGGGTGTTAGATGTTATACATTCCTACAGATATAAGCACTGCTTTACAGAGAATATTGGTGCCTTCTATTGGGTTAAAAATAGTCCTTACTGGGCCAGGGAGATGGCTCAGTGGAATAAGCACTTCCCTGACAAGCACAAGGGCCTGAGTTCAATCCCCAGTACCACAAAAAAAAAAAAAAAAAAAAAAAAAAGAAAAAAAAAATAGCCCTTACTTATTGTGGACTGATCAGGTTGGCAGTCTCCCAAATGAGTGTATAATGAAGGCTAAATAAAAAGAGGCAAAAGGAATGATTTCGAGCTCTGGGAGGATCCAAGCCTACTCACAGAATTCAAGATTTTCTCAGGGCTAAGACCAAGACCTTCTCTGGGAAACCTGTATTTACTTATTTAGTTATCAGAACAAGGGAGGGGAATACTCAAGGTCAGGAACCCCTCAAGGACTTCTCTAAAGTATTAAGTTAATCCACCCAGGAGTGAGATGCTTAAGGCCACAGTCTTTATCTAGTTGAGGTTGGAGCCAGGCAGATGTCCTTGGTCATCTTGTCTTACTATCCTTTGAGGCTTCACCTACCATTACAGGCCTTATTGGGGATCAGTGACTCACACTGGCTCACTTATTAGGAATCTGCCACCCATCTCCAGACAAAGGGTCTAGGCCTTGGACAGACTCACAAGTAAACGTGGAAAGCCAATTGATTAATTGAAGTCCTGCTGAGGGCTGTGTAATGGTAGTCTCCATCAGTCTTCTTTCATGGTCTCCAGCCTTATGGTGAAATCACTTATTAAGGAAACTGAAATTAGCGTAAAGGAGGGCCGGCTCAATAGCTGAGTGCATTAAATGCCTGCTTAGACAGATGTAGCAGTCAGGGTTCGGTGCTGGCCCTGTCCCTAGGGCACACTGAAACAGCAATTGAGGCTGGGCATGGTGGCGGGTGGTGGGTGTCGCTGGCCTGTAATCCCAGCTCTTTGGGAGGCTGAACATAGGCGGATCACCTTGAGTCCTATGTAGTGAGATCCTATAGACCTTTCCTAAAGAATACAAAAAGAGAAAGAAAAAAAAAATGATTTCACTGACATTATCAGACCCAAAAACTACAACTCTTGTCCTGCTTTACCTTGGTCTTAACCATCCAGCAGAAAAGTATAAAAACGAAGTATAAGAAGGAAAGCCATGGTGTTATATTGAGCTGTAGGGGACTCAGGTCAACAATTTCTGACATTGCCAGTCAAGTGGAAGACCCAATACTATTATGGGCTACTGGACTCTTTTAGAATATTTTTACACACCTATAATATTCAATAACGGAACTTAGAAAAAATGGGGTATACCTATGAATGTCCATTTTGTATCTGTGTATTAAAAGTGGTTAGGATAGATATATAGTTACATTCTCTTAATGACTAGAGGGATTTGTTCTAATAGTGTTTGTAAATAGGATATCATGTCTGCATCTTGTTCAGCAATTAACCACTAGGAAGAATGTATGGAATGTGTTAATTATTGAAACTGTCCTACCAATTTGTTTTGAAACTGTCTCATTGCTATTTGTTTCTCAATAAAATTATGGGAAAACAAAAGGAAAAGAAATTAGTGTAAACATGTTCTAACAAAAATAAAAAATAATCAGAAATGAATTTATGATTAGTAACTATGCAAAATACTGGAAAGGATCAGTAGAGGAACAACTGCAACAACTTTAGTACTGTGGTCAGGGAGTCTTCCCTGAGGAGGCAGGCAGTCCCCCAACCCGCTCATCCTCTGGCCCATCCCTCCTCTCCTCTTTCCTGTGGTGTTGAGCATTGAACCCCGAGTCCCATGTATTCTGTGCAGTGCTGTGTCGCTGCACCACACCCCTGCCTTAAACTCTTGACGTATGTGCAGCCTGGCCATCTCTGTGAACACTTAAATACTTGCATGTTCTTCAACACACACTTGTGTATATGTGGAGAGAATTTCTGGACCTGGAAGGATCTTTTGGATCATCTCGTTAATGTTTGTTATTCCTCTTCTGATAACTACACTCCACACCCAGAGGCCCTGTCCAAAGCCTCGGGGTAAGTGTGTGATGAAATGGAGGCCTGAGCCATCATCTGTTTTGACTCCTGTCCAGTCTCCGTCATGTTAGAGTCTGCCACATGCATGTGTGGTGCCTGTGCCCATAGCTGCTCTGCTGCCTGTTCTGGCCACATGCAGAGGAGACTTCTGAGGGCATGGTGTAGGAGAGGTGCTGGGGAAAGAATTCAGAAGGAGCCACAGCAGTGGAAGTTGTGTCATTCAGTCATGGTTCCCAGGTCCGGGCTCACTAGCTCTGAATCACCCTGGGCCCTTGGTTAAGATTTCATTTGCACTGACTCACTGCCTTTGAAAGTGATCTCAGGAATCTGATTTTGGCAAGTGGCCTCCAGAGATTCTGTGCAGAGCTAAGTTTGGGGGCTGTAGATCTGATCATTCAAGACCACTATTTTTTCTGGCATCACTTTTCATGGACAGCTTACCATGCAGTCTAGCTAGCAGGAAGACATGGGCCACTGTCACATCCTAAACACCCAGTCCCTGGTTCTGAAATGAAGGAGGCTGTAGGGTGCCCAAAGGGAGCATTCTCAGTCTGGGAGAAGAAAACCTGGGTTCTGGTCCATTTTCACATTAACTTCATTGAGTCTCATGTTTTATCCATTAACTAGTTTAAGAACCAGTAGTTTCTTCCATCTTTAGGAATTTCTACATACAGTATTCTCTCCATATCTGTGTTCTTACTTTGCATGGTTTTAGTTACCTATGGTCCACCAGTCTGAAAATATTAAATGGAAAATTATTACTGGGGCTGGAGAGATAGCTCGGTGGTCTTAGTACCTGCCTAGCAAGTTCAAAGACCCGAGTTTGATCCCCCGTACTGCATGCTGTGCTGGCCCTGGAACCCCAGGTGTGGTGGCACACACCTGTAATCCCAGCACTGGGGAGGGTGAGACAAGAGGATCACTGAGTCCAAGCTGTATAGCAAGAACCTGTACCAAATAAATAAAGAATTTTAGAAATAGTTCATAAGTTTTAAAAAACTTACATTGTTCTATTTTATTATTAGTTATTACTAACATTTTGTGTATAATTTATAAACTATCAAAATGTACATGTAGGAAAATACAATATATAGGGTTCTTTTGTTCCAAGCCACGTCTTCTGTTCAAGGAAAGGGCTGTGCCTTTCTGCTGTTGTGGCCTCAGAGCTTCATCTAAGACCTGCACTGATTGTTACAGATATATCAGCTCTGGGATAGGCCCTGGGCAGATGGTCATGCAGTGGCAATGGGTAGAATGTGTGCTCCTGCTTCTTCGCATGTTTGATTTAAGGCCTAGGTGTATGTGAAACAACAGTGATTCTAGAATTCCAGTATGGGGACTTCTGGGGGCATGTGAAAATTTTCTGGACAGCTTCTATAGACTACTTGTACTTGGATCCCAGCTCTAAGATTTTTGAGTCTCTATGTCTAGGTGGGGCTTGGGAGTATGATATTTGCGTTTAAATAAAAAGGGTGATCCTGTTCTACAGTCAAGGTCAGAAACCGTGGTTATTAATCAGTGCCTTTTTACCCAGTCCTGTTCGCTGAGTAGCTGATAAACTCCTGTTTTCCTTTCCTCAAGCTGTTTGATGAGGAGAATCCAGTACACCAATCTGGAACCAGGTACATGTTTACAACGGAGGGCCACATTATATCTGTGGACAAACATCTTCGGGAATCACCTTGGAAGGAATTCTTCTCTGAAGATGAAGGGCAGGACCAGCAAGGAAAGTTCGTGCATAGGCCAAAATCTCATGAGTTAAAGGTCATCAATTCCAGCTCCAATGTGAGTTGCCTTTCCTAGGGTGGTGTGTGTGTAAGGAAGAGAAGCACTCCTAATGCCTTTGGCATTCAGAATTTCTGACAGAAAATTGGTGTTATATTCAGACCGCATAATTCGAAAAGAATTTCGTGAAGGGACCTAGTGGTGTCAGGATGTAGGTTGAGCAGTGGCACCTTCTCAGTCAGCCCACCATGTGCCTTTGGAGGGAGTGACCACATCCCCTGAAGGAGTCTCAGGGAAGGATGGCCACTGGCAGGAGCTACTACTTGGGAGTGGCTTCCCTGTGGGCAGGAAACTAGCAGGTCAAGACCTGATACTACCACCTTTGCCCTGATGTCCTGGTGGAGCTTCTCCTTGGCTGATATCACCAAGAATCAGGACCGGGAAGCCTGTTGGTATAATTCTTGAAGGATGAGGAGGCAATTTGTGAATGAAAGGCCAGGCAGAAGAGACAGCATTTATGAAAGTCTGAAGAAGAAGGGAATATATAAAGGGACTGAGGTGCAGGACTGAGTGAGGAAGTGCAGAGCCATGGAAAGTGAATGAGATGAGTGTTTATGGACCATTTCATTGGTTGATTGTGAAGACCTGCACCTTGGGCTGGCCAGGTAGCTCAGCGAATTAAAGCACCTGCTTAGGCAGACTGAGGGACTGGTGTTGATCCCTGGTGTGCTGTTCCTGTGCTGCTCCTGGGGAGTGCTGAGACAGTAGTTTAGACTGGGTATGGTGGTGTGTGCCTGTAATCCCAGCATTTGGGAGGTTGAAAAACAATCACTAAAAGTCACATCTACGTAGTGACACCCTGTAGACCCTGTCCTAAATACATTATAAAAAAAACCCAAAAAACAAAACAAAACAAAAAAAAAAACTGTCTCCTACAAGTTGGAGAAATAAAGCAGGCATTTATTTTTTTATTTATTATTTTGAGACAGGGTCTCACCACATAGTTTAGGTAGGTCTTGAACTCACTATGTAACTTCAAGTTCAGGCCAGCCGCAAGCTTAGAGTGATCCTCATGCCTCAGTTCCCTGAGTGCTGGGATTACAAGTGTGCATCATCATGCCCACGAAAAAGCTCTTTAATAAGAAACTAATACTCTGAAGCATTTAGATTGTCTCTTGTGTATGAGAAGAGCATAGAAAACCATAGTATTTTCAGATAGCCAAAGTTGTTCTCTGAAATCTGAGAAGGGGCTGGTGAGATGGCTCAGTGGTCTGGAGCACCTACTTAGAACAAGCTAAGCTGAGCAAAGCACAGGGACCGCGGTTCAATCCCCCAGCACCACATGCCAGCCAGCCCCGCCCCCTGGTGGGCTGAGCTGGCCACACACACACACACACACACACACTCTAAATAAATAAAATAAATAAATATAAATAAATAAATAAATAAATGAAATCTGAGAAGTTACTCGCCCAAGGGATGGGGCTTTTACTCCTGGCTACCAAGTTACTTGCTGTGTAATATCTTTTGGCCTTCTTGGGTCTTTATTTTTGTACCTGTGAAGTGAAGAGGTTAAATCTCATTAGTCCATATCCAGGGATTATTTTGCTCTTCCAGGGATATTGGGCCATGTTTGGGGACATTTTTTTTTGCTTGTCACAACTGAAGGGTGAAGTTGTCACTGGGCCCCAGGAGGAGAGGCCAGGGATGCTGCTGATACTCCTATTACGTAGAACAGCTCCTCCCAACAAAGAGTTACATGTCCCAAATGTCAGTAGTGCCTGGGTCGAGAAAGTAGAATGGGTCATCCACCCACATTTTCTGAGAGATTACCACATAGGTTTCTAATTCAAAATTTGTTTCTTTCTAGTGCAATCGTGTACCTGATGAGAGGAGGTACTCCCTGCCCTTAAAGAGTATCTACATGCGACAGATTGACCAGATGGTTGGCTTGGTTTGATCTGCTGTTCTTTATCTCAACTCATCATAAACCAAATCTAACTAAACCCAGACCACACAAAAGTCTCATCTGAAGTGGAAGAGGCAGAAGTCTTGACCATCCATGATGGCATAGGAATTTCTGCCCAGCTTCTCACCCACATCAAGTTAATTCTTGCATATTTTGGTGTTTTTTTTTTTTTTTTTTCCAATAAAATGCCCTATTTTTCTTAAGGATATAATTTGAAATGAGAAGGTACATGGAAATTGGCTTCTTTTGACATGCTGTTGTTATTAAGCATAACATAATAGGGCATCTTTAGATTGATTATTTCCATCTTTCTATTTAAAATCCAAGTCTCTTCACTTTGTCAGCACTTGGTCCTCTTGTTGTATTGCTACCTCTTTGTTAAAGGTTTAGGAATGCAATTTCTGTGCAAAGGGCCTGAGGTTCACTTGATATACCAACGTTTGCATTGAAAATGTAGGTTTTTTTTTTTTTTTTTTTTTTATAGGATCATTGGGCTCTCTGCCAGACAACCTGTGATTTTTGGATCATATGTGGGGAAAGTTATCGATTTGTTCACTTATGTCCCAAGCAGTCTTCACAGTGTTACCGATTATTTACTTTAGAATACTAGCCACCCAGAATTCTGACAGGCAAACTCTAAGTTGTTATGTCCTACTGTGAGAGGTTATCTAACCGGTCTTTTGGATCATATTTTGTATTTATTTTGAATATGAACTTAGGTGAGGAACTCACGTAATTTCAGAACCAGGTGCCTTTTAGGGAGAGAAAAGAAAAATCAAGTAACAAAATCTAAGATTGAGCTTCCATCCTTCTTAAATTTTCTAACGAAGTATTCTAAATGATAACCATCTTTGGGCTGTTTGGAGTTTTGTTTTGTTTTTGTCACTTGTATCTAGTGCCAATTAGCTAAATCAGGGAGAAAGAAATGATCAGATGACTTTCTGATATCCTTGAGCCATGTCTCTGTGTAATACAGGCTTTAGATTAGTGCCTTAAGGGTTTTGATTTAGGCCATTAGCTGTTCATAGCCACTGCTATGTTTGTGGCAGTCTTTTGCATTGCCATATATAACAGGACCAGCAGGGAAACGGGTGGTGTGGGTGTTAATGTGGAAGGTTCTGGAAATTGCTTGATTGGTCTTTGTCTTTCCAGTTTGTTATTTTAGCCAAGTCTTTAGGAGATATTTATGCTAAAATACTTTTCCTTTTTGTTAGGTAGTCCAGTGGAAAAGGTAGAAGTCTCTTAAGAACTCTGAGCCTCATGTATTGTGTTTCTCACTTGTCAGTGTTTGCACACTTGAAATGATCTCATTAGTTGTTGAAAACTAGAAAATAACTTCCATGTAAGTCATTACATTTTCAGTCAAAAGGGAAAAAAAATTCCTTGAGAATTTAAGGATAACTCTTAAAAATAGATGTGATAATAATTCAGTTATTTTCAATTTTTAAAAAGGGAATTTTCAATAAACACATCATCTATTTTTTAAACATTAATTTATTTTAAAGTAAAAAAAACTTCATTTTACTTTCATTTTAGAGACAGTATTCTATCAGTAGTTTCTCATTTATTGAACAACAGAAAGTTTTCTTTAAAAATACTATTTTGAATGTCTTAACTCGGTAACAGTGTTACACACATGCACACACATGCACACACATGTGAGCCCTGCATCTGTCTATACTTTTCTCTAGGCAAGTTGAGGTGGGAGTATGAATGGCCCATTTGGGAGAATGGGGCCTATCAGGGAAAGAAGTATGTCTTGCGCCTTTCACCCTCCCCGTCTCCCCAGCCTCTGGCAGCAGTCATGTGTAAGCACTCTGACCTTGCTCTTCTCATCTGGGCCCCTTACCTGTCACTCTTCAGCATGCTTGAGCATTTTTTTCTTCACTTTTTGCAATGGGGTCTCTGCTTGGCAGCACCATTGTGCCTTGTGTGACACAGGTTTCTTAGGATATAGGCTGATGTGAAACAGTTTTACATGAAGTCTGAAACCCTGTTGACCTCTGGGTGCTGCAGTTGGTGAGTCAGAGGGTGAGAGAATTACTACCTATTAGTCCTGGTTGTTGACCTTATAGATTAGCCAGGCTCAAGGCTGATGCTACATAGTAGTGATTTGTGGAACTCATTGCCAGAGTACTGTCTGGTATAGCCACTGAAAGAATGTTCTTTGACCCAAGTTTATAGCTTACTGTTTTCTTTTTAAAAGTCAGAATGACAGCAGCTCTGATGTATTGACAGATTCCTGCTGTCCCTTCTATTCTATATTCTGAAATATTGAGTAGAGGAGAGCCAAAGAGAATGTCAGTAGAATCCTCTCTCAGTCCTTTGCCCCAGGAATGTCTTGAATCTGAACAGACTTAATTGTTTGCAGCAGCTATGAAGCCAGACCATCTGTGTGTTCCCCCAGTAGCTACTTGTCTAGGATCAGTGTTGGTCAGTATTTTGAAAGCAATTTTGCAAAACTGCTGCAGAAAACTGCCCTATGATGAAACTTGGAGTCCAGTTTTCCCAAGATAAAAGTTTTAAATTATCACAGGGCTGGTTAGCTGCCTCGGACAATGTGATGGAGGAACTCCATTTTGAATGGTGGATGACAGTGGAATGTTTGTACTCTGGTTGTGCTAGCCTTTCTGGAAAACTGACACGTTTTTCAGAGCTTCCCTTCAGTTTCTTTCTAGCCCTTTTGTGAGACTTTGTTCTTATAACTGAATTTCTAGGTTTTGCTGATGTTCTAGGCTTTTTTTGCCTGGACTGGGAAATGTGCTTATGACACTTAAATAGGTATTTAGAGAAAAATGCATCAGGTGGTGTCTGTAGGTGAATGAGAGTGGAGAAGCCATAATTAACAGGTGTGAATATTGAGTTGTGCAGTCTGAGGCTTTGATTCCGTCCTCCCCACCCTTTGTCCCTTACAAAAGAAAAATGTCTGAATTAGTTTCTTAGTTCATTTTAGGCATCATTAGACATTCCTTCTGAGGGGCTTCAGAGCTTTTTCTCTTTGACATGTTCAAATTCAACACTGGCTAGAGAGTGCTGACTACGTTAGTCACAAGGTGGCTGAGGGGGGATTTAAGAAGAAACTCCTTTTGCTTTTCCACCTCTAGACATTCAGCTTCTGCCCTAGTGCCTCTCCCTGTATGTGGGGCAGGGACCCCATGTGAGAAGAGATAGGGCAACCTGGGCTGTATTCCCTTGGGTCAGGCTCAGAATTATGCTCCTGTTTAATTTTGGATGTGAATCTTATAAAAATGTCAAGTACCTGTGGACTTCACTGATTCACTAAGCCCCTCTTTGTGAGAGGCAGAAGAATATTTTTAAAAAGTATTTTGTTTTAGTTTTAAATAACAAACACAGACTACATTTTTATTTATTATACACAAGAAAAGTAATTGTTTTTTCAAAAAATTTAGAGTTGGAACCTCTGGGAAAACTTATTGAAATATACAAGTGCTTCTCTGTAATGTGCAATATGCTTTGCTACTATAGATGATATTTTATGTTTAATCTGTAAATAAGAAATGTATTTAAATTAAAAGAGAGCATTTTGTAAAATGACCAAATGTTCTTTTATAAATGTACTAAGGGATATCTTTCTCTTTGAAATTTATTAGGATTTTTATGAGTAATTTTTATTAAAAGATTCTTTTTTTGAGTGGTCATTGTGTTTCTCCTTTTCATATTCATATATCCATATTACATCCAGGATGGGGAATAATCACTAAGGGAAACAAACTTTCTGCATTAACTCTTTGTTTTTATAGCTAAGCTTTCTTGTGAAACTCCACTCCATTTTCATCTGTCCACCCTTCCATTTAAATGTCCTTCATGTGGGTGAGGCTTTTTCTGGATGTGGCCCGTGGTTTGCTTCTCCTCTGTGTTTATGCACTGTCTCCTCAAATTGTGTTGACAGTTACTTGAGTACATCTGTTGTAGAACCAATATTCCACACTGGCCTGAGCAAGGCACTTCTGCCTCCTAACCTCGTAGAAGTTAAAATGGGCAGTAGCACCCTGCTAGCAGCATGGGGAGCACTGGCCCAGGGGAAATGTGAGAGGGAAGATGGCTCCTTCCCTGTCCTGCTGCCTAAGTCCTGAAAGGGATCTTGAAGGAGAGTGCTGATCTTGCTCTGTGGCATCTCTGAATTCCTCTTTTGGGTCTTAGCCAGTTCTGGTTGGCTTGTTTAATCCATTTACTTGTTTAGAAAACTGCATTTTGCTGCCAACATTTATTTTCAGTGATCAAGAATTTATTTGTAAGTGGAAATACCCCTATTAAAAACAGTGCTATAAATACAATGCTGTCTCTTGTTTCCAAAGACTATATTACAATGCTGAAAAATAATAAAGTTGAAATATTTTGTAGCACACTTCAGGGCTAAGGTAAGGACTAATCCTTAAGAGTGAACACTAATCACAGGTGATAGTGGAAAATATTCTCAGGGTAAAAGGAGAAGTGGTTAAAGTCTGAAATAACTCAGGGAAGGAGAAAATTGGCAACTGTCTAATAAGAAAAGGTTCTGCTGTGAATGTTGGTGGCTGTGTGTGAAGTCATGTAGGTTTGCAAGCATCCTGATAGAGCCAGGTTGGTCCAAGTTCTCTGAGGGGACAGGAAAAGAGCCATGTATACTGCCTTGGAACCTACCTGTGTTCTCTGAGCTACCTGTGTTCTCTGAGTTTTGCCTCCATAGCATGAATGCATGTGCCCTTGGCCATTGAGTGCAGCAGAGCACAATTACTGTGGGAAGTCTGCAAAAGTGTCTAGGCACTCTCTGCAGTCATTCTACACTATCTGTGTACTGAGCAAGTGGAACAGTCTTAATGGCCTCTGTGTTCCTATGATATGAGATAATAACTCCATGATAACTCCATATTTAGCCTGGGCATAGCAGCACATACCTGTAATCTTAGCTACGCATGAGGCTAAGGGAGGAATATTGTGATGTTCAGCACCAGCCTGGGCAACTGAAGGCCTTGTCTTTAAAGGGAAGAAAAGAAGAGGGAGATGGGAGGGGACAGGAGAGAGAAAAGAAAAGGCTTTCGGGATGTAATTATGTTTTGTGGTAGGACACCCCTGGGTTAAGTCCCCTGTACTGGGGGGTAAAAATCCATACTCAGGTTGGCAATGAGCCTGGAGTAATTCATAGTCATGAATTTCTTTTTTAATTGTATGTATTTGGTATAGGGTCTTACCATGCAGCTCAGATTCGGTGCGATTCTCCTGTTTCAGCATTCCTACTTCTCGGGTTATAGGCATGTGCCACTACATCCGGTCTTGGTGGCTGGCTTGGTGTGCCAGGGGCTGGCAGGGCACGTACTTGTTATCAAACCCAGGTCTTTGCCTAAGCAGACACTTAGACCGTTGAGCTATCTCCACGGACCCATATTCGTGAATTTTTTAAAATAGCACCTAGCACACCTTAGGCTCTGTTTCCCATAAAAATAGCCAAGGCAGATTTGATTACCAGTGAACACTGATTCCCTCAAAAAGACTGGTCCAATCTTTTAGTGATATAGGAGGATTCTGAGTGGCCTATGGGATGCAAGAGAACTGCAATCAGTGGGCTCAGCTTTAGCAGGTGTAGAACTTTCCTGGAGCCATTTAAGAACCTTGGTGAATGGGCAGTTTGTGGGACTTTAGTAGGCTCTGACCTTATTTAGCCCCTAGCATGCAGGTGTGGAGCTTCAGGTGGTGCAGCTCCAAACTTTAGAACTTCCAACTGTGAGTGGCCTGTGGGATGCAGGAGACCTGTGATCTGTGGGCCCAGCTCAAGCAGGTGTGGAACTTTACTGGAGCCATTTAAGAACTTTGGCAGACTCTCATCAGCCTGCGGTGTTCTATCTGGGTGATTACTGAGAGTTTCAAAAATGCCAAAATGCAAGAGCAAAAGACAATCTCAGTCCTGTAGCCCATCCAGAACAAATTCAGGAGACAAAGACATACAAGAACTTGGAAAAAAAAAAAGAACTTGGAAATTGGTGGCTGATGAGATAGTTCAGTGGTCTAAAGTGCCTGCTTAGGCAAGCTTAGGCAGGTGCAGCGAACTGTGGTTCAATCCCCAGCACCACATGCTATGCCAGCCCCACCCTCAGGACAGGCTGAGGGGTGGGGTGGGGGAGAACTTGGAAATCACACACCTGAAATCTCCGAAATGATAGCAACTGAAGTAAAGAGACAAGTCCATCAGGCTAGAAGAAATAAGAGCAGACATAATCTCTCAGGTTGAAAAAAAAGACAACAGTTGTGAAAATTGCCCTGCACAGATAAAGAAGGCCCAAATAGAAAAACAACAGAAAAATGATGGAAACACTGAATGAACAATACAGGAAAGAATTAGAATACATGAAACAGATTCAAACAGATATCCAGGATATTAAGAACTCCATTGAAAGTTGGCCAAACTGCTTGAATGAAACTCAAGATAGACTTCCAGACTTTGATGAGTGTTGCAGCTAATGAATGTGAAATAAAAAAATCTCTTAAAACTAAAAAGGAAT